ATGATCTCGGCTCACTACAACCTCCACCTCCCAGGTTCAAGCAATTCTCCTGCCTCAGCCTCCCAAGTAGCTGGGACTACAGGTGCGTGCCACCCACACCCAGCTAATTTTTGCATTTTTGGTAGAGATGGGGTTTCACTATGTTGGCCAGGCTGGTCTTGAACTCCTGACCTTGTGATCTGCCCACCTCGGCCTCCCCAAGTGCTGGGATTACAGGCATGAGCCACCTTGCTGAACCTCACAGAGGCATCTTATGTTAACCTACCTACCATTGCTCTGTGTCACACAGATTCTCCTCTGTGGTATGTGGACATGCCATTCCATGCAACAAGAAGGGAGCTCACTCAGTGGGTTTGCTGTTGTGGATGCTGGCTCAGGAAGTTCTGCGTATGCATGGCACCATTTCCGTGAACACCTGTGGGAGGTCGTGCCTGATCTCTACTTCTACAGAGATCCTGAAGAGACTGAAAAAGAAGAGCAGGCTGCTGCTGAAAAGGCTGTGCCGGAGGAGGAATTTCGGGGTGGATGGACTGCTCCAGCTCTTGAGATCACTGCTACTCAGCCTGAGATTGCAGACTGGTCTGAAGGCATGCAGGTGGCCTCTGTGCTGATCCAGGAGTTCCCTACTGAAGACTGAAGCACTCAGCCTGCCACAGAAGACTGGTCTACAGCTCCCACTACTCAGGCCACTGAATGGGTAGGAGCAATCACTGGATGGCCCTAAGCTGTTCTTGCACAGGCTCATAACCAACATGGAAATCATGTTCATGGAAAATAAACATCAGTTAAAAAAAAATGCTGCCGAGCGACGTGGCTCATGCCTGTAATCCCAACACTTTGGGAGACCAAGGTGGGCGGATCATGAGGTCAAAAGATCAAGACCATCCTGGTCAACATGGTGAAACCCCATCTCTACCAAAAATACAAAAACTAGCTGGGCATGGTGGCGCACACCTGTAATCCCAGCTATTTGGGAGGCTGAGGCAGGAGAATTGCTTGAATCTAGGAGTCGGAGGTTGCAGTGAGCTGAGATCATGCCATTGCACTCCAGCCTAGCAACAAAGCAAGACTCCATTAAAAAAAAAGGCATTCTGAAGTGTTTAGGGGAAAATGTACTAATTTTTGTAAAATCTTTTGAAATGAATTTAAAAATGAGATGAATTGTTGAATAGGTAAACGGATAGATAGGTGTAATCCCAGCTGCTCTGGAGCCTGAGACAGGAGAATCTCTTGAACCCAGGAGCTGAGATCACAGCACTGTTCTCCAGCCTGGGCAACAGAGTAAGACTCCATCTGTTCTTCAGCCTGGGCGACAGAGCAAGACTCCACCTCAAAAAAA